TTGTATCTTAAGTGGAGACTAAGGATAAATAGCATACGGTTGCACGCCTAATGAATTATGTATGATATCATTATTTCAGGAATCATATGTAGCCCAAGTGGGAGATTTTTAGGAAACATGAGTTTCCTATATTGTGGGCCACATATTTATTTAATAATTATATTAAGAAATTTAATTAATTGAGTTAATTAAGTGATCTAATTATGGAAAGCCCAAATAGTCTCCTGACTGGGTATGGGCTGAATGGGTGGATACCCATATTGAACCAACTAGGTTTAATGGGAGCCTAATGGGACAATATATAAAGAAACTTAGGTTATGGTCCCAATACGTCAAATCATTCGGCAGTTTTCGTTCTTTCCCATCTAGAGAGAAAACATCCCATTAAAAAACTAAGGAGATTTGGCTGAGGAAGGCAATAACCGTCATGCTCATTGTCTTAGAGAATTCTACTGGAGATTAAGGCTGCACCAATAGAGACAGATATTTATTCTAACTTATTTTCTTAATAATTTAGTGTGATAATTCCTGAAATGTGGAATAAGGATTTAAAGATCCAACAATATAAACAATTCAATTTATAGGTAATCAATATGGCTCATAAGAAGAGTCGTTGTATGTCGTACTCTATTCTTGTAACTCTTTAAATTTAGGGGGGGAAAGAAGTATCCCATCCCCTCGTCTACAATGCACATATGTGGCGCGGAACCATATGGAAAAAAAATCACAGTGGTCCCATCTTAGTAATAAACTAGTTTTGTACCCTCGCGTTGTGAGGGGTAATAACTTTGTATATATAAAAGATCTCTGGTTGTGATAGTCGGATAATAATTTTGCATTGTATAAAAAATATGTGTTTGTGATAGTATAATTACACATCACTATATGAATTTGTTTGTACATTTACATAACTTTGTATCATACAATAGATATGTGCTTGTGATAGTACAGTACTATACAGCGTATTTGAGCTGCCATGTCTATTTTTTGTTGTGGTCTTCTTTCTTTTTCAGCTGCAAAATGGAAATTTTGAAGAAGTATTAGTAATTAAGGATATTATAAATGTCTTAATTTAAAAGTAGTTATGTTACTTAGTCCTTTGACATTTTTTTTTACTGTTCTGCTTCTTTTGACCGAGAACTAAAAATGAGAAAAGGTTATTGAAATATATGTTTAAAAGATTATGGATAAATATATGTTTAAAAGGTTATGGATAAATATAGGTTTAAAAGGTTAATGAATATATTTTACCTTGTCGCTAATTTTTTTGGATTCGGTATTTGCGGGTCGATTGGTGTTGGAGCTTATGTTGTTATTTTTAGGGGAGGGTTGAAATACCAAAGTAGTGATTAGGTTCTTCTTGGATCAAAATAATAAAATAATCAGAGAAGCTGAAGCTGACAACAGAGAGAAAAATGAAACATAAAGAAGAAAAACACATTGGGAGATCATAAGGCAAGACAAAAATCGAAGAGCTTTTATAAAACAAAGGGAGAAGAAACATGGGAAAAGATGGCACGGGAAAAAGTAAGATTTTGAATCAAAATTTTAAAACACATATACCAAAAGATCAAAATGATGTTGGAAAAAAATAGTAGAGACCAAAAGAGTGACAATCATGTTACTTGTTTACTGAAAATGAGGTAAATTAGATTATGAGAAAAGTAATATGGGAAAATCCAATAAAGAAGAATAGATGAAATTGGAATTTAATTGGAATAGGCACTGAAAATGCGATGTATTTGGATTAAAGGAGACAAAAAAAAAAGCATTTAAATTGTTTTGGTCAAGAGAATAAGCAAAATCAAAACCCAAATAAAAAGAGCTTATTCACGGCAATTTTTGGACAGATTCATCAAAATTAAAGAGGCCGAAGTTATTTTTGATCATCATTGCCACACACGAAAGGAAGAAAAAAAAAAGAAGAAGAACATTTGGGCTTTTCTGGTTAAAGAAGATACATAAAACCAAAATCCAAACAGGAAAGAGTTATTGACAGTAATTTTTACATAGATTATATGGAATTAAAAAGACCAAAATTGATTATAATGATTATTGCCACTTATGAAAGCTAAATAAAGATAGAATATGCTAGGCAAAAATAACTGCATTCATATATATGTGACTATAAAACAGATGAAAACAGATTCAATATATCATTACTATATGCTAACAAAACAAAGGAGAACGCGATCATAACACAAAAACAGGTTTTTTCTAGCATCATAACAAACAGTAAAAACTAATAGCAGCACAGGAAACTAATATATCCAATAATAGTAAATATTAAGGAAATATAAGGAAGAATCATGAACAGTACCTGCAACGGTGTCAAAACTGCCTTAAACAGAGAATATTAGCTACCCAAATCCACGCAGAAGAGACAAAATTTAAAAGATTGAACAATAAGTAGGTGAAGATAAAATAGCACAGCCAAAATCTGAAAAAGGTTATGCCAAGTAAAAAAAAAAGAGGAAAAAAGAGCATATTTAGACAATTATAATAAAAAACTACGAACAAAATCAGAATGCAAAGACAGAATCCACATGACTAAGAAGTACATTTATAACAATTTCTAAATATGTCAAATAGCAGTAAGCAGATATAAAATAATTGTAATAAGCATTGCCATACAGTAAAATCAATTAAACATAAGAAATATGTTATGTAAAAATAAACCACTATATATACTATTGTGAAATCAATTAAGAACACAAAAGAAGACAACCATAGATCATTAAGATTTATTGACAATGAATAGGAATTAATTTTTCTAAGCACTATGGGAAATGACACATAGCAGTAACAATAGAACAAACCAGCACACTCAGCATTAACAAAGAACAATTTAAATATCCAGACAGAAATCATTAATAATATCTGAGCTATTGTGAGCACTGCCCTAAGTAACCAATGCCAGCCAACCAAAGAGGAAGGAAAAAGACAGAACTAAGACAATGGAGTAGTAAATAGGGCAAGGTAAAGAAAGGTAGTAAGTGATCAACACTGAGGTAGAAAGGGAACGATGTCAGGTGTAAGAGAAGAAAGGACAGACAATAAATTAACCTACGACAATAGTATTTTGCACATATACAAAGACTAAGATAACTAATGAGAACATCACATATAATACAATTAAGTCGGTGGACAAATACTGAGGAAGGAATAAAAAAGAGAAAAAATAATGCAAGTAACAAAAGTATGAGAAAAAAATTAAAGAAAAAATCAAAGCATAATCAACCGAGAGAAACATCAACAATATGCTGCATATTCCAGACATTAAAAGAGGAAAAAAATCCCTAGCTCATTTAATGCCTCTACAACAGAAAAGCCACAGATCATCAAGACAAAAGTACAAAGCAAGATCATAGATATCACAAATCAGCACTACAGATTAGCTAACCATTAAATGCAGAAAAAAAATTGATTTACGAACAATTCTCAAATCAAAAGAGTAGATCAGAAACATCAGAGGTTCGGCAAAAAGAAGGGGAAAAAAAGGCACATAACACAAAATATGCATTCCAGAACATTCACTCTCGTAAGAACACAGAAAAAACACATGTAAATTCCATATCAATGGCCGAAGAGCAGAGGGGACAGAAGAAAGGAAGGGGGGTTGGGAAACCGCTGGAAACCCATAGCAAAATTCCTAATGACAACAACACAAAATGATCAGCAAAGAATCAAAGGAACGAAGAAACAAAAAATGGCTGAAGAGAATAGGGGAAAGAAGAAAGGGAACGGAAAAAAAATCACCGAAAACCCACAATAATCCGTAGCAAAATTCCTAATGACAACAACATTTATCATTAAAGAATCAAAGGAACAAAGAAACAAAAAATTAAGAACATATGGACAGAATATTAAGCATGCATGAAATGTAGAAAACTAAAAAAAAAAATTGAAGCACACCACTAACAGTTTTATTAAAAAAAAAGAAAAAAAACTTACTGAAAGTTGAGCAAAAATAGTGGAGGCGAAGAAGACAACCCATATCTTCACGTGTACTCTGGACCTCGAGCTAAATGAAGCTCGGCAAATCGTGAATCACACTATACCAAAAGCACAGACAGAGAAAAACGCAATTTTTTTTTTTAAAGTTATGTACTTATTTTGCTAAGTGGAGAAGTGAAAATTTTCTACGGTTTGCCAAACAAAGAATTCAGAGAAGAAAAGAAATTGTTCTTCCAAGGAAAGCAAAAACACGAAGAATGAAATCATAGAAATGAAATGGAAAAAAGGAAAGAAAATTAAAACCTTGTCATTGAGCCACATCCGATCGTGATCAAAGAAGGGTTGACGGCGACGGTAGTGGTGGTGCAGAGGTAAGGATTGGGGACGACGGAGGAGAGAAAATCGCTCGAGAGGCAGAAAGAGAAAAAAAAAAACAGAGAGAAAAACCCAGAGCTTTTACGATGAACCTTCGATTTAAGCCAAACAATCAAAGAAAGCGTAAGAGGGAGAAAAAAAGCCCAGAAGCCTCAATAAGCATTTCTGTAAGAATCCACCACCGACAAAAAAGAGACGAAGCATAAAAAGCTTCAGTGGCAAAAAAAATGGAATAAAATGTGAGAAGAAAAAGCTCCAGGAAAAGGAATAGCAAAGGTCAGACATTGGAAACGGTAAAAGAAAGAGGACCAAATCAAATGACCAAAATGCCCAGAAAAAAACACAGAAGCAAAATAAAACCGAGGGTAAAACAATAAAAACACTCAAAATGACACAAACAATATAAAAAAGGCTTGAACAGAAAGAGAAACAAACAGGGGAAAAATGGGAAAGTCACTATACTTAGTACAGTAACTTTCCTACCTCCTTAATAGGTATAATATAATATTCCAACGGCTTCATTAATGTGAGAAATTCTTTTAACAATTAAGGCACCGACAACGAAGGGAAATTCAACCTGTTGGAACTAAACAAACCTAAGGCATAAGCCATGCTTAGAATAAGATTACCTTTTTAGAAAGGTTAAGAGAGAGTACTTTAGATGCCAATTGTCATGCCATAAAATTATCTGATTCCATACATTATACATACGGTAAATGCAATTTTACAAACCTTAAACCTGTTCTAGAGGAAAAAGAGAAAACGTACGCTACAACAAACCTCCTATACTTTTTTTTTTCTCACACAACAGCAAGATCTAGAGCTCTAAATAACCAAGCAGAAACTAAAAACAGAATTACAATCGCGGAAACCCCAAAAGAGATGACTAATGAAGAAGGGCCACGGCGTGGAGTTAGTGTCTCCGGGCCTATCGGACTCCGCAATGCTTCATTTTTTTTCGCTCTAAACCTCAGTTTCGTCGTAGATTTTTCACAAACTTTATGGTTTGCTTCAACCAGTTCTGCAGAGGATTCTTCAGAGCTGTCCTCGCTTTCATCTATTAGTTCTATGGAGGATTCTTCAGCGATTTCCTTGATCGTGTCAGCCTTCAGAAGATGGCTCTCGTTATCCCGTTCATCAAGGAAATGACTCCGCTCTGTAGCTTCTGGGGCCTGCACAGAACATGACGTACAATTTGATTAGCTCAATTATGTAAATATGTAAATTAGGAGTGCATTAAATTGATGATTATTACCTCTGTAGAAGACGACTGTGCTTCATCATCTGTTTCGCTGTCGTCTGCATCTTCCAAAGAGTCCTGAGGCGCAATATTATATTAATCAATCAGTGAATATTTGAACATTGATATCACCAGAGATTCTAGCTTTGCATCACCTAATAATCCTTACCTCTGTAACGGTTGATTGCAATTCATCTTCATCTTCCTCTTTGCTTTGCTTAACATCTTTGACGTTGTCATTGGCAAATGATCGAGGCGCAGTATCCATTTGTAGGCGGATTCTTCTTGGAGCGCTGCCTTGTGGTATGGGACTATTTGAACTTGATTGCGGTTGTTGCCGGGTCCTCATCTTGATTCCAGTCCCAGCAGCAAGATGACCCCTAGAATACTCTTTCTCCTGCCCATCAACAGTGGGACTCCACTCCGTAGCTTCACTGACCTGCAAAGGACAATCAACAGTGTCAAACTTTGCTAAATACATATTATAATAATCCTTGAGATTTAACTTCACACAATGGCTCTACCCCAGTATGTGTCGACTGTACTTCTTCTTCATAGCTCTGGTTTGAATCTCTCACATTGTCATTAGTAGTTGAACCGGGTGATAAATCCATCTGTAAACGAATTCTTCTTGCAGCGGTGCCCTGAGTCACAAAATTATCAGAAATTGGCCGTTGAGGCTGACGAGACCTAATCTTGATTCCAGTTCCGCCTCCATGACCATAGTAGTTAACAGGAACGTTCATACTGGTCGATTCTTCTAAATTGTTAACAGAAACCTGTCCAACCATATTATACCCAGGTTGGCCCATATTTCCCATTCTAAGATCTTGGTTCGCATATGGCGCTTCAGCTCGAGAAGGTCCGCATTGAGGTTGAATCTGCAACACTTCTTTGGCATCCATTTGCTCACTATACCATTCAGAACCTTTCATATCCAGGCCATGCTACCATACAGTAACAAAGGAAAGATTATCTCGCAATACTCGCCAGGGGCAAATTACAAAATTAACTTTATGAAATAAAGTTAACTGTATGTAAAATCTTTTTATCCTACCTGCATTGTTTGAGGGTTCATGTTGTTGTACGAAACATTGTATAAGTTTCCTGGTTGTGTGTTCTGCAATGATTGTGTTAGATTAGACAAATGGTTGTCCCTCCCAACGACCGTGTTCTTCTGATAGGTTGAATCTTCACATGAACTCTCATCAGGGTTTTGGAGGACCTCATCCAACAACTCTGAGATAGAGATATCTTGTTCACCAGTTCCATCCATGAAGCGAAATCCATTGATGTCATTGCCAAAATCAGAAGGTGAACCAACGTAAAGTAGTTCTGGCCCCAAGTCAATGGACTGAAATGGGGAGAAAGATGAAAAATCAATTTCATCATTGGCAGGCTCATACAATTGTGAGTTTTCTTCCATCTGCATGTGCACCTAGAGTTAAGCAAGAAGCCACAAACATTGATGGTTGAGTTTTCCATAATTATAAAGCTCGTAAAGGGATATATATAGAATGATGGCACAACAACACTGCAAATATTCTAACCTCTCGAGGAGTTTCCTGATCGGTTGCATGATCTTCCACGTCTGATGCCATATTACTATTGGAGCCACTTTCAACAGGTCCTGGAGCACGAGCGATCATGATATCTAACTTCTCAGTTGACCACCTGTTTATAACTTCTGGCTCCTCCCCAATCGGCATATCTGATGGTGCAGTTTCTTGAAGCAGATCCGACGAGGTATCATCAGGAGAAGACTTCGTTATGGTTGGCGATGATCCAGTTTGGTTCACCTCATCATGTTTCAGAGCATCTGATTTCTCCTCTGGCTTTCGGAATAAGCGGCAGAGAACAAATGCCTCCTGCACAATGTTGAAAAGAAAGCTATTAAATTAAATTGGATAGAAATTAATATACGGACACAATAGCATTAGCTATGAACCTAGACCAATTACACAACTGATAACCATTTGCTAGCTTCAACAATCTTGCCATGTCCAGAAATAATATAACCTTCATCCCCTCTATAAATGAGACTAAGTTTAAGTATCAAAAACCACTAGCAAAGGACAAAGTGAAACTCAAATCCACTATTATACAAACTTTAAGAGGATACTACCACAAGAATTAGCCATGAGCGTTCAGCAATTACACACCTGATCAGTTTGATAAACTTCAAAATCTCCTCATAGCCAAAACTAATACAACCAAATAAGAGTTCTCAAAGTTTAATCTTTCCAGTAATAACCCTCGACTCCTATACACGAGACAAGTTTCGGTATTAAATCTGTTATCAATGAACAAGTGAAGCTTGCTACCACAATGACAAAAACCTATAACTATTAGGAAATGTTAAAGGCAACATAGAAACAAATAAGCTTAGAACTGTGACTACCTGGCCAGGGCCAGTTCCATCGAGGTCCTTGAGCGTCGGACGATACTCGTGCATGATCCAATTGGTGCGCTCACCCTTGGGAGCGCGTCCTCTGTAGAAGACAAGGGTCTTCTTCATACCAATCAAGCCGTTGGTATTGGAAGCTGACCTGTAGCTTCGAGACCTGATCGTCCGATCCTTGCCCGTGGCTTTCCAGTAGCCTGCATCTGTGGCCCGGTTCGACCGCTGGCCGTTCGGGTACTTCCGGTCCCGTGGACAGAAGAAGAACCACTCCGGATCATCTGTCTTTATCACCGATTGCCCTGCAAATCACCCGATCGTAAAATTATCATCTTTCTTCAAATAGTATAATATCAATCATTTTTCTTTCTTTGTTCTGTTAATTGCTTAAATGGAATGGAGTTCTCTCTGCTTTAAAAAAAAAAAAAAATCCAAATTTCAGAAATACAAAACCTTACAGAGCTCGTAACTTGCCTTCCATACTTCTCTCTCCTAAAAAATAAAAAAATATTTCTCCACCTAATTTTCTAACAAAACAGGAAGCAGATATTGTAAGAGCTAAAACCTTCCATTAAAAAATAATAATAAAATAAAATATAACAACAATTACAATAACAAGAACTAAAACCTTCAGACCTCGGAACTCCCGCTCAGTTTCTGAAGTGGCCTTTCAGACCTCTCTCTCCTAAAAAATCATATTTTGTGCAAATTTTTTTAGAGAGGCAAAATATATTCTTATTAAGAACTAACAAAGCTCGAAAGCCGAAACCCACTTTCTGTTACTGAAAAAAAAATTTGTTCGCTCCAATTTTTTTTAAGAAAGAAAAAAGAAGATACCATAATCTAGATTATAGATAGAGGAAAAAAATAAAAAAAGAAGAATCTTGTGAGTGATGTAAGAAGAGGAATAATTCGCCAAATCATTTCAGCTAAGAAATAAAGGGAAAAAGAAAAAAAACCACAGACCCAACAAAATCCAATCAAGCGAATTACAAATTTCAGAACAATTCGCCAAATTTAGATACTATTAAATAATAATCAAATCAAGCGAATCCAGATATAAGCGATCAAGAAGAGAGAGAAAGGAAAACTGAAACATACTGGGCAAATCCCAGGGCTCCCGTTTGCAGACGTCGATCTCCGGGATGACATGGACGTCGGCGTTACGGCCGTTGATCTTCAGCCTCAGGTAGTGGTTGATCAGCTCCTCGTCCGTCGGCCGGAACCGGAACCCTAACGGCAGCGACTCCAAGGACACCGTTCCCATCTCCGATGATCACCAACCAAAAAATTCTTCTTTCTTCTACTCTCTCTCTCTCTCTACTTTTTTTCCTTCTCTTTTCTTTCCATTTTTTGTTTTTTTTTTTTTGCACTTTCCACTCTTTATAAATCCTTTCAGATTTTTTTTGCCAATAAATACTTTCAGATTAAGTCTCTGTTTGTGTGTATGGGTTTAACCCACTCGGTTTTGATTGATTTGATCTTTTGTCGTTTTTGTGTGCTTGAGTGTTTGTCTTTTTTTTTTTTTAAATCGTGTGCATGAGTGTTTGTGAGATTGTTACGTTGTGTGTTTGCGCGCGTGTTTTTCCTTTTTCTTTCCTTTTTATTTTTATTTTTATTTTTTTAGACATTTTTTTTTATTCTTAAGTAAATTGCATCCTCAATTTTGCGTTTTCTGCCTAATACATTTCAAACTTTTAACCCCGTTTAATTTATTAGTTCAAATTTTCTTCATTTAAACAATTTTATTTAGACAAAAAGATATAAATTGTATAGTTTAAATTAAAATTTAAATTAACATTTGGATGTGTTGTTAAAATTTTAGTTTGAACATAAAATAAAATTTATATTTATATTTATATTTAATAAGTGTGAAAAACAGAGAGAGTTGACACTTTTTTACTTTTTAAAAATAGTTTGAATGATTAAACTTAAGGGGTGATTTAAACTTTAAATTTGACAAGTTTAATTCAGTTCAAATGGGAAACTTAATTCGAACTGCATACTTATCAAATACAAATTTCTCTACTCACATTTCGAACTGAGTTGAACTGAACTACACCAGTAAAACAAATAGGGCCTTAATTTTAACAAACTACACTGTAAACTTTAAAATTATTGCAAAGGGAGTCTAATAACTTACCAAATTATTAAATTGACGATTTAAAACACAAAATTCACACATAATTTAATTTAAAAAATAATGAGATTTGCATTGTATGAGTGCATCTCGTGTTTCAAACCTTCAATTTAATTATATTTAACAATTTTTGGGCCTCAATTAATATTGATTTTAAATCATGATGCAATTAAAAGATTAAAATTTGAGGGTATATATGCAGCAAAAAAAAAAAAAAAAAAAAAAAAAAAAAAAAAAAAAAAAAAACCTTAAAGGTATCACAGTGTATTTTATTTATTTATTTATTTATTTTTGTTTGCTTGTTTGGTTGTCGGTTTAGAAGGAAGCGTGTGTGGACCGTGGACTTTTTTTAGTATTATACTATAAGTGTTGTCGGTACATGGTTGGGTGGCAGTCTCTGCTTACCGTGCTGTCATTCGTACCATATTATATGGCCAATGCCTTTTCCCGCAAGTTTTTCTCCCATATACTGCGATCTGCGAACGCGTTGCTTTTGAGGGGCCACTAGTATTTTTATAGGCTACTGTTGATTCCACTATGGAACTATACTTTTGACAGTTCCTGCTCTTTATGGTTTTCCTCGTTCTTGTTAATGCAAAACAACAAAAGGGCAACAACAACAACAAAAAACGTTTTGGGAAGAGGTATTTGGTTCTATTTAGAGCTTCCATGGAGGTAGAAAAATTTTAAGCACTACAATTTTTTAAGTGTTAAAATAATATTAGATCACTTTGAAATTATATGAGAAGCAAACAATATAAACAAATAATTAAATTTGATAGTTCAAGATATTCATTGCTAATAAGGTAGTAGCATGAAATTTCTATAGTAACTTTAATTTTTAAATTTTTTTTAAAGTACTTTAATTTTTTTATTTTTAATCTCAAAGTAGAGCAACTTTAATTTCTTTGGTCAAAAGAAGAAGAAAAAAAAAATGTTTACGTCGTCTGCCTATTTATGTAACATTTTTTATAATCTTATCACTCACACATGATCGGCTCTACATTCCTATTATCCCCCGTTCTATCTTTTTCATTCTCTTAATATTAATATTATAAAAACCAACTCTATGGCAAATGAATAGCCTTTTATTTGGCTCTAGGACAAAGCTCAGAGAAATGTCCATAAAATAATAAGGCATCTTAAAGCTTTTCTTTTAAAAAGTTTCTGAAATTGCATCTTAAAGCTTCCACTCACGTGGTACTGCAATGCAAATTATGCAATTCGGTCTACTACCACTTTAAAATTCCGTTTATTTTATCGATTTGAGTTTAAAATTCGAGTTTTGATACAATAAAAAATTCTTAAAAACAGTCACATTTAATTTTTTACTATAATAAAAAGCTCTCACATAAAATCACATTTCAATTCTAATCAACAAACTAAACGAATTTTAAATCTTTTTATTTCAAAAAAAGTTTACATTTAATTTTACTATAATTAAAAACCTCACATAAATTACATTTTAATTCAAATTAAAGATTTAAATTAATAAATTAAACGACACTAATTATAATATGGGATTGACTGAGCACTTTTGTAAAAAGAAAAGGCTATTACTATAGATAGCCGTATACATTATATATTATCCTTGCACGTGATTCAATCGCCATTGCAGAAAAGCAAAAGTTGTCTAGTTCTCACTATTACAAACCCTTCACGACTCTTTTCCGCTTTTCAACCGAAAGAAAACACTTTTCGTTCAAAATCAAAACCCCCTTACCAACTTCCCCAACACAAATATCAAGCCATACATGCCATCAGTCTTACCACCCAATCTAACCATCAATTATTGCTCCGTAAAAGACAAAGACATTCTCGAGTAGTGGCTTAGCGGCAAAGGATTACCGTGACTGAATTTGCGATAGAAAATTCTTTTTAACAGTCTTAAATATGAATGTTTATTTATGTCAATTTAAAACTCATTTAGTTCACTAATTTAAATTTTTAATTCGAGTTAAATGTGATTTTATATAAGAATTTTTTACTATAACAAAAAAATTAAATGTTACTATTTTTAAGAATTTTTTACTGTAATAAAATTTAAATTCTAAACTCGAATCGATAAAATGAACGAGTCACTAGTATTTAAAGTGCGCTGAGACTACGCCCACATGTATTTGAATTTCTAACTTCCTTAATGGATAAGACCTCCCGATAGAGGCCTTCATCGAACATTCCTTTCAATGTTTGAAAAATCACTTTTAAAAGAAATATGCTAACATCAATCGCCTTCCTCTTATATTTTTCTTCAGTCTGCGCCCCTGCCCCCCACCCAAAAAAAAAAGGGGTAGCATATGATCTCTCAAGAAATAAATAGTCTGTTTTAAGGAAAAAGATAAATAAATAAATAAATTGGCCATCAACGAATTAAATCTATAAACCTTATAAATAAGGGATAGCGTCAGCACTATTAACTGATTGATGCGAAAAAGAAGAGGGCAAAAAAAAAAACAAAACTCATGGTTTATTCTCACTTTGGCTACTTTGACATCCTTTAATGGTGCTTTCTATGGTATATTATTCTTACTGGTTGTGTGCGTTTGTAAATGTTAATTTGATCAAATTTATATATAAAAAAATACAAATATACGAATTTGATAAAAATCTTACTGATTCAAAACAGTGTCCGGCTAGTACGGTATTCTTTCTCACTTTACCAAATGTAAACTTAGCAAAGAAGATAGATAGAAGAGGAAAAAAAAAAAGAGATGAGAGAGGTACATGAGAAGAAAGAAAGAGAAAGAAAGAGAGAGAAAAGAACTATATGGATGGAATTGTTAATCATCTCGTTGATTTGAGAACTGTACAATAGGAGGTTAAATATTGACATATTGTGTACAAAGTTGTGGCTACTAATCTCACCAAGAGAAAACAAACTTCTAGAAACTAATCCATCGCTACCTCACAAGCCTGATTCCTAACTCCAAAGAATTCTCATTCTTTAATATCAATATTCGAGGGTTGTTAAGTTGTTATATGCTGTTAAACTCACGATTCATGGTATAATATCGATTCTTTAAGTAGATCGTTTAATTTTGTAACTTTTAATATTCAAGATTCACAAAGTGTATCGTTCCTTATTTTCTCTCAAGTAATTTATGACACCGACATTAGAATTCTTCAGATTTGTAAATATATTATTTCATTTTACAATTAAAATATTTAAGTTCGCAAGTATTATCGTACTCCTAGATCGATGCTTGTAATTCTTTTCCTAACGCAGTAGAATAATCAAAATGTGAAATGCATATTATACAACAATAACAACAAGCCTTAATTCCAACTTAATTGGAATCGGCTATATGGATTTCACTTTTTCACACAACTCTGTTCAAAATTAAACTTTTCAGAAGGCCTAGATCTAGAATGTCTTTCCTAACAACTTCGGTCCACATAATTCTTGGTCTACGTCTCCCTCTCCTAGTATTTGGTATAAGAATGTCCTCTCAAGCACGAACTGGTGCTTCTAGCGGTCTACGTTGGACATGCCCGTACCACCTCAAGCGGTCTTCGCGCACCTTATCTTTTATTGGTGCTACACCTACTTTACTACGAATAACTTCATTCTTTACGCAACTCATTCTCGTATGGCCACTCATCCATCTTAACATACGCATTTCTGCCAAACTCATCTTAGATATATGTTGTCTCTTAATGGTCCAACATCCACAATCATATAACATAGCTAGGCGGATTACGGTCCTATAGAACTTTCCTTTCAACTTAATAGACATCTTGTCATCACATAAAACTCTCGTAGCATTCTTCTATTTATCTCACCCTACCTTAATCTTATGTTGAATATCCTTTTCTATAGCTCCTTTGTACTGCACTATAGACCCAAGGTACCTAAATGTAATGACCGGGCAAAATTTAGGTCTAATCCGGACAGTCCGGTATTTCACCGAAATTATTTTCGGAATAGTAAGTAGTAGGATTTTGATGTAATCAAGGAAAATGTTATGTAAAAACTTTATGTACGGAGTAAAATTTTCCGAAACATGTAAAGTTATAATACGAATATTTTTACAAAGAAAATTCATAAATATCAGTTATAAATAGTGAATTATCGGCTAAAGGTTAGAAATTTTAGTGGGTATATTTTAGTTATGAAAAACTGAAATGTTTGGTTTGTGACCAAATGATCAGCTAGAAAAGAGTAGAAATATTAGAAGTAAGGAAAATAACAAAAGTTCGTGAAACAGAATTTTCTCAAGCCAATTAAAATAGGAAACTGCTAAAAAAATGAGTACCGCGAGGGTACGCATTTTGGACAATTCTGAATTTATTAAAATGAAAATTTCAAAAAAAGAAATTGACTAATGAGATATCCAAGAGAATTGGGTTGAACATGAGAAGTTTGACCCATGGTACTCGACAGTTCAG